GAAAATGAACAATGCAGATCACAAGGCAAAGATCTAATACAAATCTTTGCCGATCACAAGGCAAAGATACTGAAGACAAAATGTTCTCAGCCAAAGGGATCTGTCTGTAAAACAAACTTCCAGAGACAAGATGGATCCAGAATCTAACCATCATTAAGAAAACATTCAAAATATTTTCCTCTTTGAAAAGTCTTTGCTTCCTAAGAAAGACACACCGTTCTATCCGCTCCCAAAAATTCATCCAAGCCCCTCTCCCTCTCCCGAGGAGAGTTACAAGTGTCAGGACTTTGTTATTGCTCACAATTTTATGAGGAAGGTGCTCAGATACTATGGGCAATGGGTAGAAGTATAAAATCCTAAAATACATAGAAGTCAGCAATGCTCTTCTGGCCTTAAGGTCATTTCATGACAAGGGAATTGGAGCCTTCCCTAAAATGGGGGTGCTAAGGGCTTGTCCCCCCTGAAGCTTCCCCCCAGCGGCCTCACCCCCATCCAAACCAGAAGCCATAGTGGGATATGGGAGCCTGCCCTTCATTGGGAGTAGGACTCAAAGCAACCTCTTGTCTGTATCCCTGCCTGTCAGACCACCCTCTCCGGGCATTTACACTACTGCCTGCATGGCTCCACCCAACTGGCTCTGACTGTGGTGTAGAGAAGCTCTTTGGAGCCACAGCCCAGCCATGGTAAGAGCTATGCAGGCATCTCTGGGGAGCCGCAATGGACTCTTCACCTGCTCACAGTGCAGGGGGCATGAGGAGACCAATCCCCAGCCTGCATTCCCACCTCTCCCAGATTCCCATCCCAAGGCAGGTAGAGGGTTCACAAGTCTCACAGCTGCCTGTGCAGCTTTTACCATGGCTGGACTGGGCTCAAGGTTCCCGCTTTCCTGACCAGAGCCAGGTGAGGGACAGAGCCATGCGGGCAGCTGTGGGAAGCTGGCATGGCATGAAACCTCTACCTCTACCTCCTCTGGGCCAGGTGGAGAGCCTGGGAGGAGGGGTGGGACATGGGCTGGGGGCTGCTCTTGGACCACCTGTACTGTGGGCAGGTGGAGGGTCTGCATGGCTCCTACAGCGTTCCAAAAGTGGGAGGGCTCGGTCCCTTCCTGAGGCTATATTACGACTCATGAACAAGGAAAAGTTGTTGTGCCAGATAAAAGGCCTGCCAGGGTGCATCTACACAGCAGGGCTTAACTTGAAATAGGCTATGCAAATCGAGCTACGTCAATAGCATAGCTTATTTCAAAATAGAGCATTCTTCCTCCAACTTCCCTTACTCGTACAATGAGGGTAACAGGAGTCAGAGTAAGAAGTTCTCCGGCTCGACAGTATTTTGATATTATTTCAAAATAACTGCCTGCAGTGTAGACGCGGTCTAAGTTATTTTGAGATAGCGCTAGTCATTTTGAAATAATCTTGCTGTGTAGATGTAGCTCCAGAAATGTGCCTCTGATATGTATGACTTTTTTGGTCCAAGCAAAATCAACAATTACTTACTGTTTGCTGCACAAATATATGTTTTTGCACAGGTAAAAAAATAAAGATTTATTTTTGGTGGCAACCTTATATGTTTCAACCGTTTTCATTGTGCTTTTAAGAAACCTTTAAAAAATATTTTTAGCAAGATACAAGGGCACAGACTGTGCAATACAAAACAGCTGTAAGATACATTTTAGTGTGAGTAGAGAAGTAGTCACAGGTGGGACTCTTGTTAGGAATCTTTTATTTTTCAGCCTTTGTTTATGTGCTACTTGTTCATTGCATGCAATAAAAGTAGAGAGCTATTTTTTCACATTAGAAGTGTCAAATATGTACCATGATATGTGGGTGACTATCTTTCATTGAAGAGACACAGCATGTATCAGAGAACAAATGATCTTGGTGTAGACAGCTTTGTGTAAAGTCCTTTTTCCTTGTTATAGTAACTTTTTACCAGCTGAAAAATATATTGATTTTGATGAATGCTCTCTGCTGATATAGCAGGTGTGCTGGAGCTTTGTGACTGCTGAACTTGACACAGCTCTAAATTCAAAGTGTGAATTTCAACCCTGTTCTGTAGTAATTATCTAACAGCTACCACCATTTCCAGCATTCCCAGAGGAGTTCAGAGGCAAGACCCCCTGAGATTTAACAACATTTTGTATTTATCATGGAACTAAAGGGTTAAATCCGAAGCTGAAGAGCTGTCTAATCATATGCCACACCACTATGCACAGACCTGATCTCTTGTTTAAAAAAAAATGCATTAGAAATTGACAGGAATAGTAATACCTACCTTAAAATGTTAAAATTCTTGTGAGGCAAAGCTGCACATATAAAATTCTAATCAAGGGATCAGTACAAAAGTTACTCATTACTCAGCCCTTTCTCTTTTTCATTTACAGTATTTCTGACTCATGACATGACCAGGCTACATAGGTTGTGGCAGAAAGCTGCATCCCCTTCTGCTCATGTGTGGCTAGAAAATGGTATTATCTATGTTCTCTGCATTTTTAAAAGCATTCTTACTAATTACACTGGTTAAAGGGCATTCTAGAGTTCAAACCCACTGAGACAGCAATTTGTCCGGAGTATGTCTTCATTCTGATATATAGCACGATATTAACTTATCAGCCTCTCCTCTTGTAGAGTTTACTTAACATTATTTTTTTCAAAAATAACCTCTTCCTGCTCTCCCAACTGCTTATCTGTTCCGCATCACTGAAGCAGAGATGCCAAATTAGTCTGAGAAATGTTCACACTTTTTCTTTTTTTCCTGTATCTGTAAAAATATATATTTTACTTGGATGTAAAATATATATTTTTAAACATCTAGCTACTAAGAACGGATGAATGATTCAAGCCTTGTGTGAGGACAGAAAAAATAACTAACTAGTAAGAAAGAAAACTTTATAAATATGCTGCTGTATAGCTGAGCTCAGATGGAACATTTCGCTTTCCTGAAGTGCCAGGGCCCATTTCAGTTTGGTCAGCCAGTCATTCAAGCAGTGAAAGATGATTTGGGAAGAAGCAATATATGAATCAAGATTCAAATACAATATGCAGTGTAGGTGCTCTGTTGCTGGCAGTAAAGATCAAAGCGCTGTCTCCATGGTACGTGAACGGACAAAGCATAGCACAGATGGTCACTCTACAGCCTCTTCCACACTGCTCAGCCATTGAGCCTCACCCTGACTAATTCAGTATACTGTACATGGCCCATTGAATCCCAGACCATTTTGCTCAGACTCCTATTAATGCTTCTAATTTCTTCCAGTTTGTGCACTTGTTTTTACAGTTTGAAAACTGAGACCTCTAGGCTCATTTCACACAGGCCATTGAATTGCCATCTGATGGTAATAACTTTTACTGGCTGGTCTTGGACCTGTGATCCAGGGAGAAGGTGTTATAGCCTACTACCAAGCCTTAGAATCCACTGTGCCCGCACAAACTGACTTCAGATGAGAAAGGAGAAAGCATCAGAGGCTTCATCTATACTGCAAGCCTCTTGCAGAAGAGGAAATGAAAATGGTGCACTCATTTGCATATGTCACGCTTGCATTTGCATTTCCCGTTCCTTTCCCTTTTGTGCAAAAAACAGCTGTGTAGATGGCTCCTTTTTGTGCAAAAACCCCCTTTTGCACAAGAGCCGTTCTTCCTCAAAAAATGAGGAAGAGCGACTCTTGCACAAAAGGGGGTTTTTGCACAAAAAGGAGCCATCTCACAGCTCTTTTTTGCGCAAAAACCTCTTGCGCAAAAGGGAAAGGAAGAGGAAATGCAAATGTGAGCACGGCATATGCAAATGAGCGCTCCGTTTGCATTTCCTCTTCTGCAAGAGGATCGCAGTATAGACAGCCTTTAGTGTGTAAGTGTAATTGAGACAAATAGATGTATATAGGCTTATATTAGTAAACTGAAGAAAAATTCACATAGAGTTAAATGTTGGCTGAAAATCATTGTAGCAAGGTAATAGAAAAACACAGTCCTAGTTCTGGTTTGTTGTGTTGTGTTGTGTTTTGTGTTTTGTGTTTTGTTTTTTAACAAAGAAATCAAAATGAGGATAATGAGTACAATTCTGCACTTCTTACATGGATAATCCTCCCATTGAGCTGCATGGGAACATTGCAGTTTTAAGGTCATTTATATCAGAATTTAAAGATGACAAATTAAAATGTTGACTGGAGTTAAGTAGGTTCAATAAAACACATTTTAAAGCATCTTAAAAGCAGAATAGATACTATAGAAATAGCTAGTGCCTTTTAAAACCTCAAGATAAAGGGAAGAAATAATTTAAAGAGACAAAAAAACTTTGTGAAAATTAAAATTTGAGGATGCTAAATGTGTGTGGTATGTTTTTAAAGTGGGTTTTCAAAACAAATAGAACTTGAAACAAAAAAGAGAAAGCAAAACTTTTTCAGAGTAAAAGAAAATTTAAAGAGAGGTCAGGGTATAAGAAACTCTCTCTCACAGACACTTACATGCAAAGTATTGTACGACATTCACCTTCCTGTCATTTTCCATTCTTTCCTGTCTTTTTTTTTCATAATATCTCTCTGTTCTAATCATCTTCCTAGTTATTTCAACGTGATTTTATTTCTCATTATGATTTCTCACAATATTTTCTGCATCTGTATCATACACACACACACACCATGCTTTTCATGCTTATTTCCTCGTGTGATTTAATCTGGGTCTGCAAAATACAGTAACTATCTTCTGCCTCCTAAGAACAATCTTTCTCAAAAAGACCTTAAAGATACAGCTATTTTTTTATTTATCTTACTTTTCTACAACATTTTTATATCTCAATTAGTCTCATTTTTGTAGCTTCTGCTAGTCAGCAGAAGTCGTTCTGCCTCAAGCTGCATCCAGATTCTCTGATGGCTTGTGTATTTCAATTAGCAGAACATGGTTGTCACTCATTGGTGCCCTTTTTGTGTTGAAGACAAATATAGTGATGGTTGGAAAGAAGGTGTGGCTTTGATTACTAAGCCTTTCTATGGTTTTTTACTTTTTTTTCAGATTAAATTTGACAGTGATGGTGTCTGTGTTTGCTGTGAAATGCCACACCAAACATCGGGCTGCAGCAACCTTGGAGAAACGCTGAAATTGAACCCACTGCAGGAGTGTAATGTTGTGAGGCTGACCCTAAAGGTGAGGTGTAAGAGGGGTTATCATTGCATTAGAGTTTAACACAGCAAGTGCATTCTGATAAAGGCATATAGTGGAAGTGAGCAGTTTTTCAGCTTCTTACTTGTTTATAACGAAGGGCACGTCTACACAGCAGGGTTAAAGTCGAATTAAGCTATGCAACTTCAACTACGTCAATTGCGAAGCTGAAGTCAAAATAGCTGAATTCAGCTTTTGGCACTGTCTACAGAGCAGGAAGTTGAAGGAAGAATGCTCTTCATTCAACTTCCCTTACTGCTCGTGAAATGAGGGTTACCATGAGTTGGAGTAAGAAGTCTTCCAGCTTGCCATTATTTTGAAATAATGGCTTGCATTGTAGACACACTCTTTGTTATTTTGGTAGAATGTCAATTATTCCAAAATAACGCTGCTGTGTAGACATAGCCAAAGAGGCATAGCAGAAAATGAGAACTTGATCCTGCAATCATGAAATCACTGAAGTTACTCATGTGAGTAAAGTTATATGCGTACCTATTTGCAGGACTGGTGCCTACATTTCCTCAGCATAATCATTTTGTTAAGGGTTGATTATGCTCCTGGGTACTTCAATAAAAATCTTACTATAAATTGAGGGCTTATCATCATAATCTTGTTGGTGCCATTTTAATTTAAAAAATTTGAAATATTCCATTTGAGAGAGAATATTTTAGAAAAACAGCTTATCCAAAATGTTTCTGTAAAAATCCTTCCAGTGTGAATTCCATATTTTATTAGCTGTGCTATTTGGTTTTGAGAGCTCTATGTTCCCTGATTGTTCATATTAGAGAAAAATGTCTCACTAGGCACATGAAGAAATTGCAGCTAATCAGGAAAACAACTGACAAATGATAACGTACACCTTCTATAATTATGATTAGCAATGATTATGGATTGCTGCAACAGAAAACAGCTGTTGTATGTACTACAAGCTTTATTCTGCCTTTTGTTTGAAAATAAGCACTCTAGTTGAAATAGAACATGTGTAATGGCATGTAGGCTCTGTCTACACTGCCTTTTTCTTAAATTTTTCTGTCTTTACACTATCACCACTTCAGTCCCACTGGTGGTAGCAAAGGTGGGAGCACTAATGTAGAAATCTTTTCCAAAACTGACTAATCTTGTTCACAACAGCTATGTCTACTCTACCAGGTTATTTCGAAATAATAACTCCCAGAATAACTACAGGTTGCATGACTAAAATCTGGGATTCTCTGGTCCAGCAACATCTGTGGCCCAGTATGACCACAGATGTTCCAGGATCAGAAAGTCTCAGCGTGCTGCAGTGGGACGGGGCCCAGGAGCTGGTGTGCAACCTAGCTGGGCTGGGAGGGTGCTGGGGGGACGGGCATCAGCAGGGGGCCTAAAATGACCTTCCATGGTCCAGAAAAATCCCATCTGGGACCAGTCAGGTCCTGAGAGTGCCAGACCAGGAAGATCCAACAAGCTTATTCCTCTTGACAAGCAGGAATTGTTATTTCAAAAAAACCAAGCCCGTTATTTTGAAATAACAGGGTTGGTAGTGTGGACATTCGTCTTGTTATTTTGAAATAAGGAGAGTTGTCCAACAAGTCTAGAGAGCATAATAGGAAAAATGTCAAGGACTGACAAAACCTTGTTCTCATTGAAATGTGTGTGTAAGGCTATGGGATTCAATGGACCTTTGATATGTATGTCCAGTGTTTAGTTATTACGTATGTTGATGACTTTGGGCTGCTTTTATGTGTTTTTTTCCAAACCACGTCTCATTTTTTATGTCAATCCAGAATAAACTATCCAGCCATTTCAACTGTGAATATAGCATAAAGCAAAAAATATCTATGATTAGACATACTTGAGGAATAAACAGTTCTGCTGTGGGCAATAGCTGGAAAAACAGGATTCCTGGCAGCTAAAGTTCTAAACTGACATGACAAAACCTGTGGTGGATACATTTTTGAGCCCTGTAGTTTCTGAGGAAAATTATTTATCTTAGTGAAAAAATACCTTTTCAATATTGTCAGCCTTACAGAACCAGTTGCTTTCTTTTTGATTCGCTTATAATTAACAAAATTAATTACATGTCTTTTTTGCAACTCGGTTGTCATCAAAATATGCTCTTAATTACTCATGTGCAATCCCAGTGAAAGTATTAAGGTTGAATGATTACAAACAAAGGCATAATTTGAATACAGTGGGGTTGCACGGATGTAATGGAGGACAGCATGTGGCTTGCAGAGTCTTTGTTATTGGTAATAGTGCACAAGCCAAAAAGAGCACAAATTAAATTATTAAGCGGGGTCTGGAAAGTGGCAGTTTGAAAAAAGTCTTAGTTTGTAACCTGAGCACATTTTGACATGGAAGTTGAGACAGAATATATATGGAACCCCATGATGCTGTTTATACAATGTCATATTTCAGAGAAGAGCCACCCTATAAAACAAAACTGTAATGTATGACTCTAAGACCCCTTATACCAGTGTTTCTTAAACTTTTTAAGACCAAGGAACACTAAACAATTTTTTGTTTATGAGGAACACCAAGGATTTTTTGTTGAGAAGAAAAAAGTTCTCCTGCCCCTTTAAGGGTGGCCATTTTGAACTCTGTTGTTTTCTGCAGCACACCTCCAACTGCCTTATACAAACACTGCCTTAGACAAACCATGTTAAATTCAAAGCGAAGTTTTCTCTACAACATACTTTCAGCAGTCTTCCTGACTGCATTTTTTCAGGAAGAACGGCTCTTGCGCAAAAACCTCTTACACAAAAACAGCTCCTAATGAATTATGCAAACGAAGTGCAGCAATACGCTAATCTGCACTTCATTTGCATAGGCTTTTGCAGAAGAGGGAAGCTGTGTAGATGTAGCCTAAGGCACTAATGTTCTGGATCCAAAAGAGATAAAAGATCACCTAAAGCTTAGGGACAAAGATGGCAAGCAACATCCCATTCCTCGGCGGATTTATCTACTTCAAGAGTAAAACTGGTTGGTTCAGGAGACAGCACTAACAAGAACCAATCCAAGACTATGGAACAAACTCCCGTAGGAGCTGAGAACCGATGTTACCCTCATTGTATTTTGTACTAACTGAATGGCACACATGGGGCTTGCCTTCACTAATGAAAGTTCACAAATTAATAGATATACATTTTAGTTCACATGCAGATTTTGCTCCTTGGGCAAGAAAAATGGATAGAACAGCTTGTGAAAGACATAAATCACATCATTCAGGCTACATCTACACTGCACATTTATTTCGGATTAAGCTATTCTGGAATAGTTATTCTGAAATAGCTTATTTCAAAATAGCATGTCTATACTGCAGGGAAGCCTCAAAATTAGTCTGAGGCAGGTTTCTCTAATGTAGACATGCTATTTCGATTTAAAGCCCCAGGAGGCACCGGGGAGGAATAAGTTAGAATGGTCCCGGGGAGGGGCTATTTTGAAATAGCAGAAGTGGGGCGTCTACACAACCCCTATTCCAAAATTAGTATTTTGGAATAGGCATTATTCTTTGTGGAATGAGGTTTACAGAAGTCAGAATAAGCCTCCCATTATTTTGAAATTATTTCAAAATAACGGAATTGCTGGGTAGACGCTTGCATAGTTATTTCGGAATAATGGCCATTATTCCAAAATTACTTTGCTATGTAGATGCACCCTTAATGTGCTACTGGAAAGTGCTCAAATACCATTCTGAAGGGCAATGTAGGAGCCTGAAAGGAATAGAATAAAGGGAAGTATTATATGAAAGGAGCATGAGGAGACAAATTCCAGTAAAAAGAAGATGAAAATCAAACAATATTGAATTCCGGCAACTGGAAGAAATATACTGCAGCCTAATTTTGACCTTTTGTGATATTAGCTTTATGATAGGCAGGCTTGTATTGTACCATGCTACAGAAAAAGCAATGCAAGCTTTCTGAAGAAAAACATTTATACATGAAACATAATCTTGCCACAGAGGAATAAACAGACTAATCAACATAAGAAAATAGTCTTTACTGTGGTTAGAAAATCATATTCAGAATATTGAATTTATGCTCTCTCTGACATTGCAGCAACCTGTTAAATTACATTTGATAGGATTGTGCTATGCCTAAGAATATTGGGGCTATATGGCCGCAACTTTTCACCTTGGGACAAGTTGTATGTGTGTGCAAATCACAGAATCATTACATAATTCAGCACTATTGATTGCCTCTGCTTAAGAAATTTCCTGGTTGGAAGAGGCAGATATATGTCAGGAGTAAGTTGAACTGTGAAAGCCATTGATGGATGTTTACTGTGTCACCCCGTACTATCCTTGATTCTAATCACTGTTTTTAGACCAAAAGGAAAAACTGTGTAGCACTTTAAAGACTAACAAGATGGTTTAATAGGTAATGAGCTTTTGTGGGCCAGACCCACTTCCTCAGATCATATTCTGGAAGAGAAGAGAATCTGAGGAAGTGGGTCTGGCCCATGAAAGCTCATCACCTATTAAACTATCTTGTTAGTCTTTCCAGTGCTACATAGTTTTTTCTTTTGTTTTAGCAAGATTAGACTAACACAGCTACCTCTCTATTACTGTTTTTAGACCAGCACTTTGATGAGCAACTACCCAGAGTCAAACAATATTTTGTTCCTACAAAGATCCTAATAATGTACAGGGCCATGACAAATAAAAACAAATACTGGTACTGTAAAAAGTTTGTGTGAGAATGAGGGAATGAATTTCCATTTCTGTGTTTGTATATGTGTACATAATAAGGAAGATAAATTGTGTTCAGTATGCAAATGACACCTAGCTTAGCTCTCTGTCTCTGTGGGCATGTCTACACAGCAGGACTTAAGCCGAATCAAGCTATGTAACTTGAGCTACATCAAATGCATACCTTAAATCAAAATAGCTTATTTCGGCTTTTGGTGCTGTCTACACAGCTGGAAGTCTGAGAGAGCACTCTTCCTCTGACTTCCCTTACTCCTCGTAAAATGAGGGTTACAGGAGTTGGAGTAAGAAGCCCTCC